CAGTGGGTGATATCACCCCAGAAGGGTTGCAAAGTTGGGAGTTAGGTTGCAAAAATTATTTTTGGCTGAAAAATGTAGCAGAGGATGTTCAGATTGCCAAGGTGGTTGGACACCTTCTGGATTCTCATGTACAGGACTGGATCAGTAACAACAGTAGTCAGTTGACTGCTCTGACCTTCTCTGAGTTTATGGACAAGGTTTGTACATACTGGCTCCCCAGTGATTGGGCAGAGGCTATTCAACAGAAGATGCTGTTGTCGATGCAGGGTAGTAAGGCCTTTCACCTGTGGGCCATTGAGGTGGAAAGCTTGAATGTCCTGTTGTGAGGCAGTGAGTTCCACCTCACCAAAGATCATCTCTGCTTTCACTCAGAGTCACACATGCACCTGGACCTTACTGCAGAATATTGTTTGACTGCTGCCCATCGTGAGAAACAGTTCTGCATGTGGCTCAATTTGGTCTGACTTCTAGATGAAAAATGTGTTCATGACACTGCAAAACTCGATGCAGCTCTTCATAAGAAGCCCTTTGAACCTAGCCATTTGGCCAACACTACTGCACCTAGCTTGAAGGCACCAGATGGCCATGCTTGCGCTCATCCTCCTGCCCTCATGGTCAAGGAATGACAGCTCCTCTGTGATAATTCTGGTTGTTTCAAGTGTCACCATCTCTTCCAAAATCACACCATGCATAACTGTCTGAATGACTTCCCAGATGCCAAGAATTACAAGGTGCTGACTGCTGCCAATGTTGAAGCTGCTCAAAAGAAGTGCACAAAACCAGTTGCTGTGGTCATTGAAGAAGAGCTGGTAATGAAGTGCACCTGCATTACTGAAGTTGACAACGACACTGAGGCCATCACCATTGTTATGCCTTTGGTGGCTCTTGGGGATGGAACTGACTCAGGTGAAGAGTACATCACCTCCTTTTCAGTTCCCCATCTTCAATGGTCCTGTCTTCTTGAAGGACCTAATTTGACCTTCCCCCTGCCTGTAAAAGCGTTGATTGACAGTGGTTCACATCTAGTTCTGATTGATGAAGGCCTTGTCTCAAAGCTGGGCCTCCAGTGCCATCAGCTACATAGATCCCTTGATGTCTCGGTAGCACTCTCCTCTGGGGACTGGGAGGTCATGTCCTTACAGAGGTATGTTGTTCTGTTTTGTCTTTCCTCTGATACATGGTTTCATTCATGTTCCATTCATGCGATTATTGCACCCTGTTTGTGTACACCACTTTTGTTGGGACTTCCCTTTCTCTTGCATAATGGGCTCATTATTGATCATGCTCTCTGCACATGTGTTGATAAAAATAATGGTTATGATTTAATGAATCCCCCCCCAGTTTCTGTCCCCACTTCCTGCCAGCCCATGACTCCTACTGTTTGAGCTGTCAAAAAGCTTAAGAGTGCTGTTCTTGAAGAACTATGTGGTGTCTTACCCAAGTACTGTGAACTTGTTGAAGTGGTGGCTACTCCAGTATGTGGGGTAGATATTATTGGCATGGTACAGCACTGCATTGAGGTCCTTGCAGCTGCAGAGGAGCTGACAAAGTGGGATGCATGACTCAAGGATGAGTTCACTGACCGCTTCCCTGTCAACATCCCACCCACGGACACTCTGCCTGATGATGTCCTTCTCTGTGTGCAACCCAAGGATGCTAACAAAGTAATCCAACTTTGGTCATACAATTGTCCCAAGAAGTACTGTGAAGTGTGGAAGACATTGCTACAGCAACATCTTGATGCTGGATGCTTATGGCCCTCCAACAGTACACATTCATCACCAGCCTTCATCATTCCAAAGGCAGACCCTACAGCGTTGCCCCGCTGGGTAAATGACTTTCAGCAACTCAATTTGAATACTGTACCAGATAATCACCTGTTGCCCCATATCGATGAGATCCTTCAGGATTGTGCTAAGGGCAAGTACTTTGTGAAACTGGACATGACTAACATGTTCTTCCAGATGAAGGTGCATCCAGATGACATCAAGTGGTTGGCAGTGCACATGCCTTGGGGCCTGTATGAGTGGATGGTCATGCCTATGGGGGTATGGAATGCCCCTGCAGTCCATCAGCATCACATGTCCACCACTCTTCGTCATTTAATTGGTTGCATCTGTCATGTCTACCTCAATGATATCATCATCTGGTTGCAGACACTCAAGGAACATGAATGCAATGTTCATGTGGTTCTTCAGGCTCTCTGTGATGCTAAGTTGTTCTGTTCTCTCAAAAAGACTCAGTTGTTCTGCACTGATGTGCTTTTCCTCAGTCACTGTGTCTCTGCCCAAGGGATTGAGCCAGACTCCTCCAAGATCACAAGGATTCTTGACTGGCCAGTCCTGTGGTTGGTGACTGATATGCATGCCTTCCTTGGTCTTGTCTGTTATGTTGCTGACCATCTCCTCAATCTCACAGAACACACCCATATCCTGAACACATTGACAACCAAAACTGTGGAACTCAAGTTCCCAGTATGGACTGATGATCATCAGTGGGCCTCTCAGGCCATCAAAGATCTTGTAGTCAGTCCTCACTGCTTAATGACCATTGACATGATAATCCAGGTGACAACCACATCTTTCTTACATGTGACACTTCAGACTTCCATACAGGAGCCATCCTCTCATGGGGAAATACCTGGGAAACAGCTTGCCTGGTTGCCTTTGATTCTATGCCCCTGCATGGCACTGAACTCAACTATCCAGTGCACAAGAAGGAGCTCCTTGCCATTATCTGTGCCCTGAAGAAGTGGAGAGTCAAGTTGCTTGGTGCCCTGGTGTTCATGTACACTGACCATTGTACCCTTCAGAGTTTTGCCTTGCAGCATGATCTCTCCTGCCACCAGGCTCACTGGCAAGAGTACATGTCACAGTTTGATTTGACTATTCACTATGTTCCAGGCAAGCATAATATTGGCACAGACATGCTGTCTCATCACTCAGATGATGTTCTTCCCATTGCCATGGTGTCAACTGTTGAAGTGGACAAGTCACTGACAGTGGAAATATTGAAAGGATATATGGAGGATCCATTCTGTCGATGTCTCTTCACACTCCTCGACTCTCTACCTGGCCTGCAGGAACATGATGGTTTGCTGTACCTCACAGGTTGTCTGGTGATCCCTTGTGTGCACTCCCTTCATGAATGTTTCTTCCACCTCACCCATGATGCCTTGGGGCACTTTGGCACAGATAAGACATACGCAGCTCTATGGAACTCCTTCTATTGGCCCAACATGCATCACAATCTTGCATCTGCATATATCCCCACTTGCACACACTGTATGTGCAACAAGTCCCCGACTATGGCACCTGCAGGCCCCCTGCACCCCTTGCCTGTCCCTGATGCTCGTGGTGATTCAGTCGCCATCAACTTCATTGGTCCCTTGCCAGAGGACCACAGCTTCAACATGATCATTTACCATGACAGACTGCCTTGGTGTGGGTATATGCCTTGTGCCTTGTTGGAGCTCCATCACTGCTGCAGAGTTTGCCTCACTATTTTTTGACCACTGGTACTGCAAGAATGGTCTCCCCTTGGAGATCATATCAGATTGCAATAAGCTTTTTGTGTCTCACTTTTGGAAGTCACTTCACAAACTGACAGGTATTAAGCTTAAGATGTCATTGTCCTACCACCCTCAGACAGATGGTGCAAGTGAGTGCACCAACAAGACTGTTAATCAGTGCATTCGCTTTCATGTCGAGCAGAATCAAAAAGGCTGGGTCAAGGCCCTGCCTCAGGTGCGTTTCCACATCATGAACATGCTTAATAGTAGTACAGGGTTTTCGCCCTTCCAACTGCACCTTGGACACTCTCCTTGTCTCTTGCCCCCCATCTCCACTTTATCAGAGATGGATGCAGATGACCACAGTGATGCAACAAGCTTCCTGGCCCATTTAGATATGGACATCCTTGAGGCATGTGATAATCTCCTTGCAGCTAAGGCAGCTCAGGCCCATGCAGCCAATCGCTATCATGTCCCCAACCCGAAGTTTACAGTCAGGGACAAGGTTTGGCTATCTACTAAACATTGTCATCATGAGTACATCACTAATGGTACCAATCATGTAGCCAAGTTTATGCCTTGGTATGATGGGCCATATACCATCCTGTTGGCTTCCCCAGAGACATCCACATATGTCCTGGATGTACCCCATGCGACAAATGCATGCACCATGTTCCATGTTAGTCAACTATGTGCCTTCATGCCCAATGACATGACACTTTTTCTATCATGAGAGCTCCCTCACCCAGGCCCAGTGGTCATGGTGGATGGTCAGCTGGAGAATTTGATTGAGCAGATATTGGACGAGAAGTGGGCTGGAAGATTGAAGAAGTACTTGGTGCGGTGGTTAGGATTTGGACCAGAGGACAATGAGTGGTTGATGAAGAAAGAGTTGGAGGATTGCAAGGCATTAGATGTTTGGGAAAGGGATCACCCACTGTGAGGAGTCAGGTTTGGGTTTGGAGGTTGGGTTGGTGACAAAGAATCACTCACTCACCCCTCCCCCCCCTGGTTGCTCTTTTTATGGGTTGGGAGGGTGCAAGCATATGCTTACTACTTACACACACATCACTCACACCACCACTCATGCACCACTCACAGTATCACTTCACACTATCATGCCTCCTATTGTGCCCTTGTTCCGTTGTCTGGGCATGCAGATCACTACTGTGTTGCATTGTTTGGACCCTGGGGGTATATATATTGGTGCTACATGTATGTGCAGGACATCTCTCTTCTTTCCTTCTTTCCCCCTCAATCGTCTTGTATCAGTGTATACACTTGATTGCTTAATCACACATGCCTGTCCACATTCTGTTGCTGTTGCAATCCATCTTGAGTGTGCTCACCCCTACCATGGTGAGTTCCAGCCTGCCACTGATACACTGTAAGGTACCTGGGCTTGCCTAGAATGGATGGCAGCACTGCAGTATTCCTTAGCCCCACTGACAATTTGGTTGAATTTTTGGTCTCCTGCTTTCATGATCAATCACATGTACAGCGAAGTTTTCATGCCCCATCCAATGTCAGAGAAGCTTGCCTCGGACTGCTTGGTGGGCACCTCTTTGGCTCCAGTAGAATACAATGTTAATGCCCACTCAACCTGTAATGATTGCAGCTCAGATGTTCACCTGAATAATGCCACATACCAATGTGACAGCTAAGACCAGTGCACCCCTTGGCATTTCATAGTCAATTAACTCATGATAAGTCTCATTGTCAACCACTGAAATATCCCTGATGTGGGATGCAAAGGTCTGCAGAACAAGTGGTGACAGAAATGACTTGGAGACCTAAACAATTTTATAACAGACTTTGATCTGTAAATGGATACTTGAATGGGACTTGCACTATACTCATTCCCTCCTAGATGTATTATGCTACTATACATGAATGGAAGGCTTGAACCAAGTGCAAAGTTGACATATGGCTTCTGTTCCTCAGGATTTTTGTATTTCAGGTCTGAAGCCCACAATGCCTCAATGGCTTCAATCCCTGCTTTGCTGATGTGTGCATGCTACTCGTAAGTCTTTTGCATGCACTAGCTAAGATTGTTAGTAATGCCATCAATGTCAAGTGAAAGTCCTCACCAGACAATAGACATGATTGTCCTCATCAAACCAGTGTGGCCAATCTAACATGACCTTATCCCATAGTTCCTGCAATTTGTCAATGAAACAATCAGGTACCATTCAGGGATTCTCCAATGTCCTGCAATAGAGATGGAGCAAAGGAACCAAAAGCTTTGTAAATTGGGCAGCAGATCCCTTTGGCAAGTTTTGATGACTAGGTCGATTCTTCATAGCTATTGCATTTGCAATAGGAGCACTGTGCTGTAAGCACTGTTGAGGAGCATTAGTGATGATCTTGGTAACAGCAAGGGGACCCTTAAAATGCATTAGCATCTGTATAGAAATTAGGGATGCTGTAACTACTTACCATGGTATTCTGTGCCCCAGCAGGTTCCATTTCTTCTCTTGCTCATCAGGGAGGCCACTGAATTTATCCATCACACTGCCATTGACCTGGTTACCTCTATGAGTAATGTGCTCACCAGTTTGAGACTCTATGTGACATTTGTGCTGGGCAGAGTCCACAGTTTTTCCTTCCTTGTGAGAGTGTGAGAGGCCAGATGGGTGGTCGCATTTCTTCTTCTTCTGCAGCAGCCCCAAGCCAAAAATAACTCTAAAAGATAAACAAATATGTTAGTTCAAATAGCTAGGTTATAAACACATACTTACACTCCATCATGTTTGAGCTTGTGCTTGTCTGTAGCTGTGATGACAGAAGGTTGGGAGGGAGTGGCCTTGGCCCCCAGTTTGGCCTTGGTAGTAGTGTGGGCAGCTTCAATGAGGTGGCATGTGATCTTTGCTGGCTTCCTATGTATTCCCACAGTCTCTTCATCCTCACTCCCCTCTGTGGCAACATCAGGATCGGTGTGGTAGTCATCCTCACCATGGATTGACTCAGACCCAGTCTCAGATCCTTACAAGCCAGGTAAGCATCATTTCCCCCATGTATTGGAGTACTTATACCTTTGGCAGTTTCAACCTCTTGGGCCTCACCACTGCCCTCATGTCCTGGGGCATGCTGTGAGGTCTGTGTGCTTGAGATAGCATCATTGGGTGTGGTCTTCAACATTGACTGTGACTTCAATGGCCTATTCACTGCTGATTTTGGATTTTGAAAGTTCATATGTCATGTTTTCATCTGTTCATGTAGCTGATCTTCAATTTCAGCCACTTGACGAATATTTGCCCACTGCTGGAGTCTAGTGGCTGTGTGTATTGCATTTTGTGTGGCATGCTCTTCTTGGATGACCTGGATACTTTGCCTTGGGTGGGGAGGTCAGGTACTCCAGGGTGTCAGTCTTTGTTTTTTGCATGGGTGGTGATGTGGTTTGGCATGACAAGGTAGTGGGTTAGGTGGGGATCTCTTACTATCTGGTCAGCCTTTTAACCTATCCCTTTTTTTGTAGAATGCTAACATTATGGTTTCCACTGATTGCAGTTTATTTATTTATTTATTTATTATTAATAGAATGCAGAGGGCCCTGGATGTGTTGCTGTACTGACAAGTGTAACAACACATTACTGCCATCAAACTATGTCTGGCACCAATTGGCTTCAATGGGTCTATCCTTCTTCAAAATTTTGCTGTTGAACCCAGCATAATTACTGCAGGGTGATGTATCAGGTCCATCCCCCATCTCGCACTAGTTTCACTTCTGCTTCATGTCCCCAGCAGGGTGATTCCCCATGCATCCCTACTGTCTGAAAGTTTTCATCTGTACTTTCCCACTTTGCAACAAAGCTTGTAGGACCAAGGGTGGGCTGAAACAACATGGTATTCATCAAGTGCCTGTACTGGAACCACCAGAACAACATGGTTCCACAGCCAGTGACTTGGGAGGCTATGGCTCCAAATTTTTGGGTGTTGAGCTCCCTGATCAATGCAATTAGCGCATTCATTTCCATCCCATTCTAGATGGTATATATTGTCCTCAACAATGCTGCTCATGCTGACACTGCACAGGGTCACCTTGTGATCCATGTGGACAGGACCTCCTGCCTTCTGTGCCACCACTGCCCTTTGAACCATATGCCCAGGGTGACTGGATGCCTTTTACCAGTCAGGTGCAATTTGAACTTGCTGAATTTTTGTACAAGAGTGTACAGATGTCTGCTGGCAAGACAGATACATTGATGGATATTTTGGCCTCACTGTACGATCACCAGGACCCACCATTTGTGTTGCATGATGAGTTATACAAGTCTATTGATGCTATACCATATGGTGACTGCCCTTGGCAGTCATTTTCAGTGAAGTACTCAGGCCCATTGCCCAAGGACCCACTGTCTTGGATGTTGGCAGACTATGATGTATGGTACCAAGATCCACCAAGTCTACTTGAACAACAATTTGGAAATCCAGAATTTGCTGATTCAATTGACTACACTGCAAAAGTGAGTTTTACTGATGTACATTGAACAATTTATTAACACTAGTATCACAGGTCATAACAGATGAAAATGGCCAGTGTGAGGTCTGTGACCTCATGTCAGGTCAGTGGGCATGGGATCAGTCTGTGAGTCTATGCATTTGTGTTGTCTTCCTTCAGTGACAATATATATATTGTCCAGGAACTTATTGCCCAGGATCCAGATACACATGGGGCCACATTTGCACCTATCATACTAGGCAGCGACAAGACAACAGTCAGCATAGGCACTGGAAACATGGAATATTACCCACTATACATATCCCTTGGAAATGTTCACAACTGTGTCCATCACTCTCATGGCAGTGCCCTGTCCATTTTGGCCTTTCTGTCCATCCTCAAAAGTAAGTGTCCATCTGGTGGAATGCACTGCAATGTCATATGCTGTACACCACAGTGGCAGGGTGGGCCAGCATGATATGATTGCATATTGGTAGACAACAGTGGTTCAGAGAATGATCCACTCTGTGGTCTGCTTGTCACTTATTGTTTACTCTTTTTCTCATTCAAGTTCCAGGGCCATTCACACTCCTGTGTTCTGGTCGAATGGTTTCTACCATTTGGTGATGCACCGGACCACTTGACAGGAATGTGGGTCATAGTGCTGGAGGTAAATGCTGCTGGACACCATGTCTGAGTGGTCATTTCCATCAAATCTATTCTGTGAGGCATTCATCTGGTTGGAGTGTTTGGTGTGGATTTTTTACCTGTTACATTTCACTTCTCGCAATCTCTCAATGCATTTAATGCATACTATGTCAACAGGTATACAGATCATCACTCATACACAATTTGTTAATTTGAATGAATACAATATCTGTCATGACATTTTGTGGACACTGAACAATTTATGGTGGTCTGTGGTAGCCTGTGTGTACTGAAGAAACTGTGGTGGTCTGCAGTGGTTTGTACAGAATGTGCACACTGGCTGACAGGTCTGACAGTGTGAACAGTCAGTCAACAGTCCATGCAGACGTCACAGTCAGGGCAACAAATTGCTGATGCAGAGAACAGGCACAAAATATGTCAGAGTACTGCTACAGGTAAAGTAGGATCAAGAAACAAATGAGACAATAAGTAAGACTGTCATAGAGAATTCACCATCTGAACATATGGTCAACAGCATTGGACCAAGTCCTTACATTCCCCCCTCCAGGGTACAAAGTATCCTTTCTTCATGTAAAACTTGCTTACAAAGCAATGTCCCCAGCACTTCCTGCAGTCTTGTCCTGGGGCATCATTTCGTCAACTTCACCCTCCACATCTGCTATGCCATCATAATCCTCTCCATATTCCCATCTGGGCCACCAGAGACACTGTCAATGTTTAGATGGTTAATCATGATATGAGCAGGATTGGCAAGGGTGTCAAAGGGGGGATTCATGTCTAAGGTAGAGGTTGAGGACCTGGCAATGGTGGCACTCTGATGATCATCAGTAGTGTTTTTAGGTGCCTTGTGACACCTGCTTGCATGAGAGGTCTCATGATGTCTGCTGGCCCAAGGCCTCTCTGATCCTTGTGTTCTAAATGGCAATGAGTTGGGATGATCACCCAGGGGCCCCCTTGTATGATGATTGTCTCCTCTACAATCTCAGTGGTCCAGGTAACCTTGCTGGGAGCGATCACACTGGCATCTAGCCCTCTCTGCCACATCCCAGAGTAGGCTATTCAACATTTCTGTCTCTGCAGCATTGAGTACCTGCCTGCCCTCTATCTCTTCCCTGCTATACAAGTCAGTGTCCACTCCCAGAACTTCCTCCCTAGATGGAGCTGGACCTGTGATGATAATGCAATGTCCCACACCAGGTTCAAGGTAAGTGAATTGCAACCTTGTAGTTGCTCTGCAGTGGTAAGCTTCCCTGAACTGATGGTATCCAGCAGGGACATTGAGGGGATCTCCTCTGTCTGCCCAGGGCTGGAGTCAACCCAGATGACAAAATAATCAAAGCTAGTCCATTCAATGGAATGACTTTGGGCTGGGTTCAACATAGTGGCAGACTGATGATGTCTCATGTCAGGTGAGCAGTTGATAGCTAAACTCTGTAGCTCGCTAATGATGTTGGACAGGGTGCTCTGGAGCATTGCTAGAGTTTTGGGGCTGAGGACAGGTTGCCTTGCAGGTTGAGATATCAAGGGAGCTGGGTGCAGTTGGCTACATGCCCTCTTTGGGTAGGAGGCAGTTTTACAGGTGTAACAATGATGGTGGGAGGCACACTTGTGTCCCCTGGGCCTGTGGATGTATGACACTCATGAGTTAGACCATGTAGGCAAACCTGAACATAGGTGGGCTTGACAAGGGTGATCCGAAGGGTGGCGTGAATGGTATAGGGACGACTTGGAGATGCAGGAGGTCGGTTGTGTTTAGTGGTATGATGAGGGTGGTATGGATGAGGACTGGTCTTGGTTCAGTGATTTTGAGAGTGGGAGGATCCAGCCATAGTGGGGTGTAGGTAGGTGGATGGGGACTTCCAGTTGGGACATGGGCAATTTAAATGGGCCCCACAGATATGAGGTGTCAAGTGTCCTATGAAAACCTGGGAGTCATCGTCTGACAAGCTCCCATTGCCCTTGTCCCTTAAATTTTCAATCCCATCAACCCTAATGGCCTCAAAATAATTGGTAAGTGCTTTCAGGTGCGCAACCTCATCATAGGGTAACCATGTTCGATCTCCAGCTGTCCATTTCACTTCAAACTTTGCATCCAATCAGCTGCCACAATGGCTTATTATCTGGTTGACAGCCCATTCTCAGTTTATCCCTCCAAGTTCTGGAATCTGATCATCTTTCTGTCCAGGGAATTTTCTATCATCGTTAGGTATGTGCACCCTTAACAATGATGAATGAAACACATCATGAATACCTCTTTCCTTTAGGTTATCAGGTAATTCAACATGATAAGAATTATTCCCAATGTCATCCAAAATGCAGTACAGTCCAATGAATTTCAGTACAAGGTTTCATGATGTCCCCCTTGACAAGCTAATATTCTTGGTGGAGATGTATATTAGCACCAACCACCTATATCAATCATGCCTTCAGGATTGCATCATGGGTGTCCAGCAGAGTAAGTTTCATTTTATTGGCAAATGCTCTCATGCTTGGGTACTCATCTCTTGTTGGGGAGTCCCAGATCATTTGTCAAGGCATCCATCCAGTGTTCAGGAAGAATGGTGCATAACCAGTTGACTCCAACATTGCATTATTGATTGTGAACTCAATGGCAGGTAGTCATGACACCCAGTCCTTTTGATTTGGCCTGATGCAGCATCTTAGCATCTGGGCAATGGTTCAGTTGGTGCACTCCATGGTGCCATCTGTTTCTGGATGGTATGCACTAGACATTTTCTGCTTGATCCCAATTAGCTCATTTAGGCATTCCCAAAAAGTACTAGTGAACAGGATGTTGTGGTCACTAATGATCACTCAAGGTAAGCCATGGTGTTTATACACCTTGGTGAACATTAATTCTGCTACTTCACAAGCAGTATAGGTTGTTTGGCTCAGTGCGATGTGCACCATGGATGTTAGCAAGTCAATAATCACCATTATTGAGTCATACTTGCCATCGCAGTCCTTGGATTCTGGGAGTGGTCCCACAAAGTCTACTCCAATTGATTCCCAAGGTCTGGATGGTACAGAGAGTGGGTTTAGGAGTCTGAATGGTTTGTGGGTTGGTGGTTTGCTCTGTTGGCAAGTCTGACATGATGTACAGCATGTGGTGATATCCTTCACCATTGAATCCCACCATAGGAATTCATGGATATATGACACCATTTTCCTGGTGCCTAGGTGGGTGAGCAAGGAGTGGGCATGATCGATGATGACCTCCCTAAGTCACTTGCCATCTACCTCAATATCAGGTACACAGAACATGGTGTGATCTGGGAGTTTCAAACTGATGAATCTGTCAGGCATAATATTGAAGTTCTTGAAAGCCTGTGGGCCCTCTATGACCTGTTTGAAGAATGGGTCCCTATCATACTTGTGCTTAGCTGCTTTGAGTATCCCCTTTGCTTCCTGGGTATACAACCAATGGTACCCTAGTCATTGGTGCACTCATTATGTCACCTTCTGATATGAGTTGCCCCATGTCTGGTATAGGAGTCTGCATGTCATGCATCATGTTTACAATGTGTGTGTCCTCAGGTCGGGGACATTCACTGTCTTCATCCCCCTTCCTTTGTTTGCCTGGGCCAAGAAGAAGGAAGTCATTCTTCATTCTCCTAGCAAACTCAATACCTGTTTCAGGTCAGCCAGTCTCTGCAGGTGGAGTAGGAGGACGATGATGGCACATGGTCACTCTCTTGGTAGTGGGCTGAGTAGGTGTGTCCTCCATACATTTGCATGCATTTTCCATGCTGCTCATTGCAGTGGGCAGCTCCCTTTCCACAGGTTGCTCCTCGACACTCGCTGGAGAGGGCATCACTGGAGGTTTCAGCACTAATCGCAATTGGCACACAGAGGACAGTCCCACTGCTTTGGGCGCTTTGGAGGGGTCGCTCTGCGAAGCATCTTCTGGCTGTTTCACTGTTGCCCACACTTGTGATCTGGTGGATATCACCATTGCTTCGACACCAACATACAGAGGTGCACTGATGATTGGCTGACATTCCTCCATGTTGGCAGACTCATCAATCTCTAGGTCGTGATGCAGATATTTGCTGGGTGCATGGATAGTCCCTGGCACGTCAAATTCATACATCCGAGAGAGGGCATCTGGGAGGACATTATTGATGCCAGGTATGTGTTTGATATCAAAGTCAAACTTGGCCAATTTCTCTAACCACCATGCCTGTCTCCCAGACAGGTCTTTCTGCTCCAGCAAGTATGTCAGACTCTTATGGTCAGTAATCCATGTGAAGTGAGCACCCTGCAGTATATCCCAGTGCCTCAACATCGTTTCCACCATGGCAAGGAGTTCTTGCTCATGAACAGGGTAGTTACATTGAGCTGACAACATTTTCGCTGAGTAGAAGGCAGTTATCTTCACAGACTTCCAGTCCTTCCCTTGTGTGATCACTCCACCTATCCCATTTCCACAGGCATCCATCATAACCCAGATGGGGTTTGTGATTGGGCCCATACTCTAAGGGAATGCAGCTGTGACTTGCACAGGTGGTGATGTATTGTTTCACCATTTTGAATGCTCACTGCTCAGTAAATGTCCACTGAAAGGGACAAGTTTTGGCACTTCCTTCTGCTAATACCCCCAAAGGTATGTGAACTTTGTAAATGTTGTCTGCCAGGTAGCCTACTGACCCAATAAATCCTTTGCATAATGTCCAGTTGGTAGGGACTTTCCAGTTGAGGATTTGATTGACCTTTTCAGGATCCATCTCTATTCCATCATCAGTGACAACCTGACCCAGGATCTTCACTTTGTCACACAAGAAATGAAGTTTCTTCTCACTCAGGTAAAGTTTCTCCCATGTGAGGATTTCAAGTATGATTTTGACATGCTGTCAAGTCCAGGCCTACTCCAACCAACTCCAACACTAGACAAGGTCTGGGGAGAGGTTTGGAAGCAAGTCTGACAGAAAGAGCAGAACTATGACTGGTGGAGTGTTGGTAGGAACGAAGTCCACTGAGATAAAGGCAGAGCGAAGTGAGGGCATCAGGTTTAGCTCATGTGCTACC